CCCTCGGGCCGCCTCCGCTCCTGCCCGGGCCCCTGCTGCTGCTGCTGCTGTCGCCTGCGCCTGCTGCCCCAACTCGGCGTCCGACTTCTTCATGGTGTGCGGAGGTCATGTTCGCTCCTTAGCCGGCAAACGACTTTTCTCCTCGCCTCCTCGCCCCGCATGTTCAGGACCAAACGATCTGCGCTCGTCCGGCGTCTCTGGAGGAGCCGTGCGCCCGGCGGCGAGGACGAGGAGGAGGGCGCGGGGGGAGGCGGCGGCGGAGAGCCGCGGGCGGAAGGGGCGACGGACGGCCGAGCGCATGGGGCCGGCGGCGGCGGCGGCGGCGCGGGCAGAGCTGGCTGCTGCCTGGGCAAGGCAGTCAGAGGTGCCAAAGGTCACCACCATCCCCATCCCCCAGCCGCGGGCGCCAGCGCGGCCGGGGGCGCCGAGGCGGATCTGAAGGCGCTAACGCACTCGGTGCTCAAGAAACTGAAGGAGCGGCAGCTGGAGCTGCTGCTCCAGGCCGTGGAGTCCCGCGGCGGGACCCGCACCGCGTGCCTCCTGCTGCCCGGCCGCTTGGACTGCAGGCTGGGCCCGGGGGCGCCCGCCGGCGCGCAGCCCGCGCAGCCGCCCTCGGCCTACTCGCTCCCCCTCCTGCTGTGCAAAGTGTTCAGGTGGCCGGATCTCAGGCATTCCTCGGAAGTCAAGAGGCTGTGTTGCTGTGAATCTTACGGGAAGATCAACCCCGAGCTGGTGTGCTGCAACCCCCATCACCTTAGCCGACTCTGCGAACTAGGTAAGAAGTTCTGCGACCACCCTCCCACAGCCCCCGCGCTCAGATGGTGGAAGAAAAGTCCTCGCGCGCAGTGTCTTTATGCAGCCACTTCTCCAGGGGGAAGTCGGCATCCCCTCCTGGGAGGAGACTTGGGAAGAAGGCAGTGGAGGGACGGGGACATTCCCTGAGGCTTTCCTTCCAGGTTTTTCTCTGTTGCTCCGAGGACGGCTGTGGCATTGCTCGTGCACACACCACAGACAAGCGGGTAGAAATTGGGCACCCTCATTTCCGCAGCAGCAAGGGGATGCAGAGGAAAAAAAAGGGGGGGAGGTGTCACGCCTCTCCTACACCCGGAAAGGCGTTGAGGTGTGTGGCCGAGTTGGACTCAGTCCAAGCCCGCCAAGGAAGGCTGGGAAAAACGAGGAGTTGTAAAGGCTACCAAGTAGTCTTCTCTCGCTTAGTGAATAAGAACAGTCATGACGGGTGTAAGTGGCCCCGATTCTGCCCTGGGCACTCGCTCAGCTTTAGGGCTGTAAGATCTCAGCTTTAGGGCTGTAGGGCAAAGATCGTTAGGATGGAGGCAGGGGCGTGGGGGGAGGCGGACTGGGTTTCTCTTCACCTCTGCTAGCCAAGGGTGAAACAGAGCAAGCAGTTAGGCGCAGTTGGGTCTCCCCACTTTGTCTTCTAGAGCAGAAAAGCACGGGGTGTCTATAGACTTGTCTGTCCTCACTCAGAGTCTCAGTGACGCTGCTGCCCCTTACAGCGCTGGGGCCTGGGCTGGTACGGCTCAGACCCGGAGCTTCCTGGCCTCTATCCTTTCAGCCTCGTTGTTCCCTTCTCCACGTCCGGGCACCGGGTGGGGGACCGTGCACCCCAGGCCAGCAGAGCCCAGCGCCCGCAGTCAACGCCATCCCCGCCCAAGTTCATCAGGATACTTTTGGGACTGGCCTCCCCAGTGGGCTGGGCCAGGAGAGCCCCCTGCCTCTGGCGGAGGCGGAGGGGAATTGCGTCTTAGGAGGGGGTGTCGGGGGGTGCAGGGAGGGTACCTTGTCGCCCCCTGCCCTTGAACTGTGCAGTGCGCGGCCCGGCGGAGCCGCGGCCGAGCCGGAGGTTTCCAGCCGGGCTGGCCGAGTGCGGCGGCGGCGGCGGCGGCCGCAGACGTGGAGAAGCGGAGCGCCGCGGCTGGCGCCAGGCGGCCTCTTTTGTTTATCTGACAGCTAAATATCAAGGCAATCACCGCCTCGCGGCCCTGCCTCCAACCCCCACAGCTAAGACAAACAGTTGGGCTCAAAGAATGCCTCTGTTATCATAAGTTTCTATCTCTCTCTCATTGCTCGGCCTTTATTTTCTCTTTCTTTTTGAATTCCAGAGTCTCCCCCTCCTCCTTACTCCAGATATCCGATGGATTTTCTTAAACCAACTGGTGAGTAGATTTTAAAAATACCTTCTCTCTCTGAAGTTAGACCTGGAGCTTGTAGAACCCGGGTTTTCTTGCTAGGCAGCGGACTGGGAGTGATGGGGGCTGCTCCAAGCTGGCTCTTGGTTTCCTGTCTTGGAAATTTGGTGGATTTTTCTCAAGCGCTGTTGTTGTGGCTGGATTTTTTTGGTTGTTGTTACAAAGATGCCCTTTATGTTTTGTTTCTTTTTCACGGGTTTGTGCTCAATGATACGTTGTTACAAAGATGCTTCCTACATGGCTTTACATTTTGTTTCTTTTTCATGGGTTTGCGCTCAATGACGTGTTGTTACAAAGATGCTTCCGAGGTGCGTTTTACATTGTGTTTCTTTTTCATGGGTTTGCTGCTCAGTGACCTGTTGTTACAAAGATGTCTCCTAGTTGTACTTTACATTGTGTTTCTTTTTCATGTGTTTGGCTCAGCCTTAAGCATGTCCAAGCTTTGATCCACACACAAGGGTCTTGGGAGCCAAATAGGACAGGCTGATGGGAAAATGTGTAGACTTTGTGAGCACCAAAAGAGGCACTGGGAAGAATGGCTCATTGGATAGAAGGGAAGGCTTCAGAGTTTTAAGAAGTAAAGGCTGCAGCACCTTTCTGGGCTCCTTCTGAGTCACCTCCAAACCAGGGTTCTCCCTTAGGGGTTTCTCAGAATTTTTGGTTGGGACCATCAGTGTCTTTAGCATAGCTCTGCGTGCCTGTTGCTTTGTAACCGGATGGCACAGGGGCTAGGGCAGAAGCCCAGTGGAGACTGGCACCAGCCTGTTGCTGTTGTCTGCATTCAGCTCCTGGCTGGCAGCACAGGGGCTCACCCGGTGGATTTAACAGTGGGAGGAGAGGGGAACAAGGGTCAGCAAAAACCAAGATGCGTGGATGACGACAGGGGGCAGCCCCCGTTTCCAGGAGATTCATTAGCTGAAAGTAAGGATTGTAACTTCTGTCTTTGTGCCTTTAGACTGGTACCTGAGAATGATAGAGCTGGTGGTGAGGTTTTACTTCTGCCAGAGTTCTGGGAGAAGAGAAGAGTTGGGGACCATTTAGCTCCTGAAATTACTTCTACAAGACCTTCCACCTCCTGAGTTTTGGCTGTTGGGCCTTTCTCCCCACTAATTAAAAGTTTTGTTAGGGCGTTGTCATAAATTAAATACTTTAATGAACAGTGTAACCAAAGCCCATACTCTGCAACCAGCCCTCCCAGAACTGCACCAGCTCCGAGTTGGGAAGGCACTGTTGCTTGCCGCCACTGCCTGTCTAATAAGCGGCCTGCAAAGCATGTGATATTTTGCTTTCAGTTTACAAAACACCAGATAAATGGGTCATTAATGAGGAGATAACCAGCCTTCAGTATGGATAACAAATGCTAGCAGAAATGACCAAGCTCTGTTTTCCCAAAGTGTGTAACTTTGAGCTTTTTGGCTTAAATAAGGCTCAGGTTTTTCATGAAGTTGGTCCTCCAAAGAGCCATCTTGGCCCTGTTTTTGATTTTTCTTCTGTATTCTTCAAATTTGGAGGTTTTCCTTAAGAGATGGAGACAGAACAAGCATCTTTTCCCTGGAGGTAAAGGTTGTATTCCCAGCAACCTCCTCAAACCACAGACATGGTCCACGTTCTTTTGGCTTTCCTGCTAAGATAGATACTGGGCTAAATCTCTTAACAGGATTTAAGCAGTTATTCTGCCAGGCCAGTACCTCATTTTGGAGATTGGAGTGATACATTTATTCATTAGCAAGTGTTGACATTAGGTAGCAAAATGTGTGTAAACAGAGAAGCCACAAAGACAGGAATGTGCCAGTTCCAAGGGGAGAAAAGTCCTCCAGATCAGCCAATGGGAAGTGATTAACCTGCCAGTCGGAAACTCAAACAGCTGGTTACTCACCCAAAACGTTTTGTTTAAAACAAAACAGGAATGACAAAAGACACTGTTGTGTAAGAATATGGGACAAAGTTAACAGATAAAGGGCCCCTGAAAGAGGTTGTCCTTAGGCTTTGGAGGGCAGCCAGGTCTGGGGTTGGAGGAGCCCTGGGACAGGTCTGGAAGTCCAGGGCTGGCTCTGCTGGCGTCGAGGCCAGAACCACAGATGGAGTCTTGTCCAGGATTTCCCCCACCTTGTATATGGGAGGACGTTTGGCTTAGGAATTTACCTCAGTGCTTACCTTCTTAAGTTTCTAAGCCTTAGGTTGAATTTTTGGTCTTGGGTTACTAGCTGAGAACCAGGCATAAAGCTTTACAATAGACATGTGTTAAACTCTTAACCAGTTGTACAACTAAGGGGATCCTTCTGTGAAGTCTCTGGGGAAGAGGCGATGGAAAGGGCTGTTGGGCTTGGTACCCTGCAGTCTTTGGAGGAACTTTAAAGGCAGGCATCCCCCCGTTTTGCTATGGTTAAAGCCACTGCACCATGGTCTCAAGAAGGGCCTGCCGCTGTGCACCTGGGGGCTGGGTGGCTCAGACCAGCAGAGTCCTCTGAGAAGGAGTGTTAGACACCGCTGAATATGGGGGCAAGGTGGCTGTGACTTGTGACTATCTGAGTCTGGACACTCTCCCCCCCACCCCACCCCATTCCATAAGGAATGAGAACATGCCAGTCACTGATGGATCTCAATTGGTGGGTGGGAACGTGGGGGCTTTGCTGTGTGGACTTGGCCCTCTGTGTCCAGATGTAATGGTCTGAAAGGTTTGAAGGGGGGGCATGGAGGTTGTTGTGGGGTAAGCTCTGCGTACTTGGGGTGGGACATTCCAGTGACCAATACCCATTGGGGACGAGTCTCTAAAGCCTGGTGGAGAAATTCAGCCCTGACTTTGTCTCTTAACTCGAGCCCCACTCCTTTAACTTTTCCAGGCCTTGCTTTAAATCCAGATGATGAATGGCTTAGACTAGATGATGTATATGTTCCTTCCTTGGTTCATTCATTCATTTTACAGCCAGGGGGATGTGCTTGCCTTAAAACCTGCGGATTCCATCCAGTGGATTGCGCTTCTGTCACCAGGAGTTATTGAGTTCTGGGTGAACTACTACAGCAGAGCTGTGGCACTCGGGATGTCTTGGTGATGGTGATGAGGTTCCTCTGTCTCGGGCCATGCTTAGGCAGCTTAGAACTAACTTGACAGGAATAGCCTGGCTCTCCTGGAAACATTCTCTTTGTCAGAGAAGCTCCGTAGGACTCCTGACTCTCGTATCTTGTGCCCATTCTCAACAGTTGTATTTCTTGGTTGCTCCTCAAGCTTGGGTTCTGGAGGGCTTTGGAGCTGCCTAGGTCCCTGAGTGGCACAAACAGTTGGCTAGTAACCTAAACCTTCCCAGTGGTGCTGTGGAAGAAAAGCCTGGCTTCCATAAAGAGTATGGCCCAAGAAAGCCCCACGGAGTGGCGGTTCTACTCTGTAACACATGGGGTTGTCATGAGTTGGGATCAACGAAGCAGCAGTGGTAGCATAGTGGCTAAGACACTTGCCTGCTAACCAGACGGCTGGCGGTTCAAACCCACCAGCCACTCCTCGGAAGGAAGGTTGGGCAATCCTACTTCCGTAGTGATACTGCCTCGGAAACCCAAGGAGGGGTCGCTATGAGTCGGGGCCGACTCGACGGCAAACAACAAGCAGCAGTGGGTTTGGTATTGATTTGGTTGGAGTTGCTAGAAAGAGGCAAGTTATTTTCTCCCATGGAACCTACTACTTGACAATGCTTGGGAATAGTGGTGGATGGGAGAAGTGGGAGACTTTTAGCCATCTGTCTTAGTGTGGAGTCTTTCGTAGGTGAGGGCTGGAGGTGTGGCCCCTTTGACCTTTAAAAACCTGGTGGTAGCTCGAGGCCAATTTGGATGCTGAAGACTGGCTCTGGCCTCCTCCAAGGAGGGGAGTTGGGACTGTGGTCTGACTGGGGAGGAAGAGCCATGGGATAGGAGCTCTCTCAGTGTAGCCCAGCTCACTGGGTGGCCCCTTGGGCTAATCAGTGACGCCTCAGTTTACCTGGATGCATGTCAAACAGGTATACTTTGCTACTTCACAGGGGTGGTAGGGAGGCCTAATTAATGTTTGCAAATCCCTCCTGAGATCAAAGGCGCTGTAGAAGAGCAGAATACCATTTCATAAAAACTCTTGTGGTTGCCAGTGCAGAGCTGGTTTACCTTTGATCTGAGACGGCTGACACCCTAATGTGGGTCCCTGCTCTGCCCTGAGATGCCGGGCTTCCCTTTGAAACACACCTTGCCCCTGGGATTCCACCAGCCAGAGCTCTGTGGGGCGTGGCTGAGGATAAGTCATCAGTTTAATATGGGGTGTTTTCCGTTTTGGGGGCTGGGTGGAGGACGGGGTTGAGAAGCCTGCCCCTAGCACATGGTGAAGACCATCAAAGTGGTTTAGAAAGTGCAGTGTATACATACACCATTTAACAAGGAACTCCATTTCCTGCCTCCTCCTATTGTTTTCCATTTGATTGAGTGTGTCCTGTAAAACTGTATATTCCTGTTAGAGATTATACTTTACCCTGATAAAAGGAGATGACACAGTCTTCTTTCTCTCCCCTGCCCGCCACCCCTCCACGCCTCCCCCTTCCCCGCCCCATACTGTTCAGGAGAGTTCTTGAGAAGTTCTTCCAGCCTGGAGAGAGTGTCAGAATGCCAAAGAGGGAGGAGCCCTGGATTACAGAGAGAATCTGAGGGTTAAGGGGAAGCAACAGGCATTGCTTTCTGTGGGCTCACTTGGAGCCCCTCACCCCCAGGGGGCTGACAAAAGCATTATCAGGAAATGGAGGCACCTGCTGCCACTAAAGGACACCCAATGGCCTTTGGTTTGGCTCCCACATTTGCTAGTGTGGCCAAGTTGTTCCAACTGGAAACTGGTAATACACACTCCAGAGACATCCTGCTAATGGCCTGGGGTGGGAGGGCTGCATTCTGTACAACTGGATTGAGTCATATTTAAGATTTGAATACTTTATTGTGTTTAAGTTACATCCAACCTGGTGTGTTTGCTGTGGAGGGTTGGGGCACACCTTTCCTGAGGCAGGCAGGCTTTCTTTTTTTTTTTTAATGCA